CAAAATAGTCAAATTGGAAGTTTATTGGTCCATTAGGCCCAATAAGGAAATCCTAGTCCATAATGGACTTAAACCGGGATTTTTAGGGTTTCCAATCTTTTGTTGACCATTTGAAGTGTTTGCATAGAGTGTTTGATGGAATTTTGTTGTCATTGAATAATCATCATGCATGTTTTCAAGTTTAATTCACAAATGTCGTCATTGTTATTGTTTACAAAAGCATTAGAATTCCTAATTGTGACCTCGTCGAGTCCACTCGTTTTCCTTAGAAGTCTGATGAAGGTTCAACTCAGCTTGTCAAGTTGACCGCCAACTCGCTGAGTTATCGCATGATCATACTCATCGGGGCAAACCCTAACCGACTCGTCGAGTCGGCTCATTGACTCGGCGAGTTCATTCGAACTCTTATCTCATTCAGGGGATTTCAAGGCAGAAAACCTTCCCAATCTCTAGATTTAAACTCTTAAGAACCGTTTATCACGTAAAGCCACGAGCTTTACGTCCATGCATGGAACTTAGGGCTTGAAATTCCAAGAACATGCTTTATTATGGGGTTTTAACTTAATAGCTCTATTATGGGGGATAAAGCAGGAACCACTTGACTCTAGGGACCTCACATGGTCCATATCTGAAGTCTAAACCTCAATATGAACTCAAAACACTCAACTTCCTAAAGTTAGATGGAAAATTCCCTAAACTCCCAATATCATGAGATGTACTCAATAAAATGAGAAAGGTGTGAACTTTTACCTTTCACAAAAGCTCTAGGATGAAATAACCACAGATCTAATAGTCCCTTCTCGTCGCTTGGCTTGGAGTCCTTCCCTTCTCTTCAAAAGATGCACCAAAGACTCAAAGTTAGCTCAAATACTCTCTCTTAGCTCAATGGCCGAATAGGGTTTCTCACAAAAGGGTTATGCAGCCGATGAGCCGCAAATGAGGCAATAAGTTCCCTTAAATAGGCCCCAAACCCGAGGATTTAAGGTTTCACTTCATAGTGTCTACTTGGCGAGTCGACTCTTTGAATCGTCGACTAGATTATTAATCCCATGTGGCACAACGCGACTCTACTCGACGAGTTGTAACACCAACTCGTCGAGTTGCTCAATAGTCCTCTAAATAAATAAATAAATAAAAAATATACCTGGAAGTATGGATGTTACATTTTTCCTTGAAGCTTGATTACTTTGAACCTTGGATGCTCTAGAAGGACTAGTACCAAATGTAGAGTACATCTAGTGGTTGACACCCACAAGTCAAGAACCCTAGAAAGTAAAGAGAGACATGAGAGTGGGGAGATGGAAATTCTAAGCCTTCTATGAGGGATATAAGAGCCAAAATTATGAGCACCACAACGACCCTTTATATAGTTGTGGTGGTAACAGAATAACCCTGATTTAATATAAATATATATGTTAAGATTTAATCCGTATTCAAATCGTTTCCTAATCTAATACTTAGATTGATTTTGGATACCTCTAAGGAGCCTCTTAAACCCTTCCACCACCTATAGGGTTCCAGAATGATCTATTTGTTCAACTATTAAACAATTAATATCCAGTCATTGCACTTTTATATTAATTCTAATTAATCTCAAATTAATTTCAACTATTTTATAATTAATTTATTTACATGTATAAATTAATAAACTATTTTCTTAATTTCCTAAAACTATTTCAAACTATTATTGGCCTTGAGGGCAACCCAAAAAGGACTTAGTTATTATTCTCAAAGTTGCACCAATTAGATATGACATTGGACACTTATTCCCAATAGTTACCCCACCCAACCTTTCTGTTTTTTAATATACCAACTCCTTTTTTTCTCTTGTCTTCCCCACAATAGCACCAACGCCACCGACTTTTGTCGATAACCTCCATTCATAGATCCATTATCTTCTAGTTCCATTTACCATCGTCCAGATCCATCACCACCAACCTTTATACAGATCTATAAAGATCCACCACCTTTCACCTCCTCCGTCAAACAGATCCACAAAAACCATCGTCCACCTTCTCTAGTGTATAGATATCCACCTCCAATGATGAGTAGATCTCTTCCTTGATTAGATGTTGTCGGTAGGTTTACCCTTTGATTTAGGGTCTCGAACAGTGGTGGGGAGGGAGGTTCAAATTGGCATGTTTGTTTTTTCTATGACAAAGTCCGGTGTTGGATAATTCTAGGGTAACATTTATCAAGTTACAAAGACACCATGTTCGTTGAGTTACAACGTCAAAGTTCCAAATCTAGATCCAACGATGATTTGGATTTCCAGATTAAGATCCAACGACAAATCGCCAATGTTCCAATGATGACAGTGTATCCATATTAGGTGATGCTCCCCCTTGTTGATGCTAATGAGGGTGGTTGGAGTAGGTGATGACTTTCATAGTTTCCACTAGTGGCAGTGGTTCCTAGCGACTATGGCTATGTTTTTTCGATGATATAGTGGTGGCCAAAGGTGATCAACGGTGGCTGCACGACAGCTTGCAGTGGTGGTGCTGGAGCAGGGTAAAGAATATATATATATATATATATATATATATATATATATATATATATATATATATATATATATATAGAGAGAGAGAGAGAGAGAGAGAGAAAGAGAGAGAGAGAGAGAGAGAGAAAGAAATGGAAGAAGAAGTTTGTATATTAAAAGAGAAATGGTTGGGTGGGGTTATTAGGGGATTTATTAAAAATTTAAGTATAAATATATTTAAGGAAATAATAGAAAAATAAAAAAGAAATTCAGGAGACCAAAATAATATTTTTAATTGCATTTTAATTTTTGAGGGACCAAATTTGTATGTTTTTTTAATTTTGGATTAATATTATGACAAAAAAATTGCCCTAAAAGGAACATAACCAGTTTTACTACTTAAGCTAACAAAACATTTCTTTGACATTTAAAAATATATGGTGTTTAATGAACGTAATTGGTTATGAAAAATTAAGTTTTAAATTATGTACCCATGAAATTTTATATTAAAAAGTTCTTAAGGGTATAACATTAACACAAATTAATTTTTTTGTCTTTATTTTGTTTTTTAAAAAATTATTTAATTTAGATAAAATTGCAAAACTGATCCCTGTTTTATGATTTTTTTATAGAAAAGTTTAAACCTCTTGAACAGTTTGATTTATTATCCTTTTTGGTATGCTTTGTATATGTATATGGTCCCTTCCAAAATTGAAAAAAAAACTATTACATCCTTTAATTTTTTATGGTCCTTTTTTATTTTTTAATATTTTCATAATAAAAAAAAATAAGAGACGTTCTCCAACATCTCCACCCACCTATCTTTCTCTTTCTCTTTCTCTTTCTCTCTCTCTCTCTCTCTCTCTCTCTCTCTCTCTCTCCCAAAAAGTCACCACCCACCACCATTATCTTCCTCAGACACTCACTTACTATTCAAACTCAGATATACAGACACAATAGAAAAAATTAAAACACACACTTTAAACACATGCCAATTAGTTATTTATTGTCTAAACATTAGAAGACCCCCCTTATGAAATAGAAGAACATGGATTCAAATCTTTAAATCTAAATTAAGAGTCATAGTGATGGGGCAGGATATACTAGTGGTTTGCTTTCAATTAGTGTTAGATAAATTAAGAGACATAGTGTTGAGAGAGAAAGAGAGAGAGAGAGAGAGAGAGAGAGAGAGAGAAAGATGGGGGATTAATCGCTTAACGGTCGATTGGTGTTAAGGGATTAATCGGTCTTGGCGGGGATTAATCAAAGATTAATCGGGGCCCATAGATTATTAATAAAATATTAAAATTAATTAAATATTAATATATCTTAAGAAAAACAAATACTTCAAAATTAGAAAATAAGAAAAATTGTAACTTGAAATTTTGGAAATATGAAAATATGAATATTTTGGTATAATATTTGAAATTTTGAAAATTTGAAAATTTTGGAGTAAAAAAAAGAAAGTTGGTTTTTTTGAAAATTTTAAAAAAAATTTGACTTTTTTTTGACATTTTTTTTGACATTTTTTCGACTTTTTTTTTACTTTTATTGACTTTTGTTGACCGATTATCCCGCCAAGGCCGATTAATCCCGCCGAACCCGATTAATCCTAAATTTCTGATTAATGTCCTAATACTCGACGGTAGGAGAACGTCAAGTGATTAATCCACGATTAATCGCCGATTAATCCCGATTTTTGCAACCATGGTCACATGGTATGTGTAGGTTCACATTAAATGCTTGTGATGAAAGTAAGTCATGTCTTATAATATGATTGAATTGGCTTAATTAATGTGTTAAACGACACCTCTTGTTTCTTATCGGATAATTTTACGTGTTATAAGATTTTATTTTTCTATCTTCTTCCTTATTCACATCATGGTTGTCGTGGCTTGTGACATGTACACTGTGGTTTCTGAGGTGGATAGCTTACTCTTGATCGGTACACGTAAGAGTATCATTTTTCCTCTATTCATGACATTGAACTACCCTATTATCATGTATTTTTGTTGCTCCTTTTGATAAGGTAGGGTTAAATCTTAGAAGATTGGTGTGTTGCCTAAGATTACCTCCTTCTTCTTTCCTTCTGGAAGTACTATGCTTCTATAAAGTTCATCCAGTGTAGCTTTGTGCGAATGTTGTATCAAAAGTATTGACCTTTGAGGCGTTTTGTCTATCTCGTCATATTCGTCTAAATATTGTTTTGTTTCACTACTTCTATCATTTAAAGAGATACGGTGACTGGTACTCCTTCACTGGTCACCACTTCCCTATTTCACATTTAGAATTTTCTTAGGTTTTTTAAATGTCATGGCCTTGGTACTGTTTGTCCCCCTATTTTTGTAAAATATATGAACCGTCTCTATATTCTTCTTGAATTTTGTATGGGCCTTCCCATATTGGTTTTAACTTTCCTTGTAGCTCTTGTCTAGCTTTGTTATTTTTTAGCACTTTCTCACATATCTTGAAAGATCTATCCCTAACGTACTAGTTATAATGAGTTTCTGTCTACTTCTTATAATGCTCTTGCTGTATTGATGCTATTTCCCTTCGTTCCATGGATACGTCTAGAAGACTCAACATTCGTATCTAAAGCATTAAGACTACATAAACAAAAAAGTGAGGTTATTCAACAAAAGTAATGATTTAGTAACATAAATGTGTTAAAAATGGTAAATAACATACTTTGATTTGAACTCCAAAATCTGAGGCATATCATCATTTATATGCAATCTAGACCCAAACAAACAATTACCAACTTGAGGTTGACCTGCAAGAAAAAAGTAAAATAATATTGTCAGTAATTACTTTGAAGTTGAAATGATAATTTGTTGTAAAAAACACTTACCACCCCAAATTTTGAGTTTGGCCAAACGTAGCAGGATAATAACAGGAGCAGTGTCATTATTATGTTGTGAAATGTAAGTATTCAGCTTCATTGCAAAACTGCCCCACAAAGCGACTGCAATTATCGTACCACTAAATATGCATGGTGGTTATTAATGAAAGATAAATATAAACGGGGGAATGTGTAATAATAATACGAATGTGTACCTTAAATCCTGAGCAACCAGATTCATTAACCTTTTCTCTCTTCCATACTCAACAATGACTTGCATGAGATCAGTTGACACAACTTCACCTAGAAAATCTATGTGAAAAAATTTAATAAATTAGTAATAATAATCCAAATGTGTATTACATTAAAAATTGAAGTATAGAAATAAGTTAAACTAACAACATAACATACCAAATACAACACGAGTGTCAAAGTTCCTGGCTAGCAAATCTGGGAAAGAGATAAAATGATAAGGATCTATTGTATCAACAAAGTCATTGGATACACGAACTTTTGTGGTTTTGTAGAAATTGATTTTATGTTTTTGAGGGACAAGCATGTATTCGCTTTCATTGCTAGCCATAGCGAAGTTACTGATCTCCCGGACAGCTCCTTCATCGAATAGGGATTCAAACACAGGAATAATATTTTTTATTTTTATTGTTGCTTGAATTCTACTTCCCTGTAGGTGACAATGAAAGATAAAAAAATGTAAAAAAAATATTAAAAAAAAAAGGAACAATAAGAGATTTCATTACATAGACTAAAGTTTATTTTTTAAAATAATACAGTTGATTATTAAAATTGTATGAATAGAAGTAAAAAAGCATAACAAAAATCGAATTTCAATTTTTTTGAATAGAGATAACATAAGAAATTGATAATCTAAAAAACAAATGGTGTAAAAACAGTATCTCCTGGTCAACTAAAATCATGTCCAGGCTTGCGACCATATTAGGATTGTTTATATAGGTCGGCTTCCAAAGTATGACGACTTTAACACGTATGTTCCAAGACTCTTTAGATGCGTTGATTTCAGAAACCTTATCAAAGACAACCTGATCTGCATTGTTAGATGTCGTGGAATACTATTATCTGCAATGCAAGGGGATAATTGGTTAGAGAGAATTTTGATTTGTAATGAAAAATCGTAGACAGAATATTTATAGGAAAAAATAAATTTGGTTAATACTGATATCACATAATGATTTTGGAATGTAATATCATTTCCATAGTTAAGATATGTTTTACTTATGGTATGATCTCCAAAATAATATCAATATACCATGTCTAATATAAGTACAAAAAAAAAAAAAAATCATACCATATTTAAGATAATATTTACCATATAAAAAACTGTAAATTTGAAAAGCTTGTACAATAAGCAAATTATATAATAAATATACAATATTTTCATAAATATGGTATGATATCGAAAATAATATCAATATAACATGGTTAATATATTTTTACAAAATATAGGAAAATATAAATTTGGTTAACGCTGATATGACACAAAGATTCTAGAATGTAATATTATTTCCATACTTAAAAGATGTTTTATATATGGTATGATATCCAAAATAATATCAGTATAACATCTCAAATATAAGTAGAAATAGATAAAATCATACTATCTTTTAAAATATAACAATTACCATATAAAAAACTGTAAATTTGAAAAGCTTGTAGAATAAGGAAAAAAATAAATAAAATCATACGATATTTAAGATAATATTTACCATATAAAAAACTGTAAATTTGAAAAACTTGTAGAATAAGGAAATTATATAATAAATATACAATATTTTGTTGATGCATTTCCAAACCTGTAGATTACATGACACATCTTTTAAAAAAAAACATGTGTTTCATATATCGATACATATAATAAGAACTTGCCTTTCTATAGAATCGACAATTTACTCCAATGAATTACTAAGGGATGCCAACAATATAAGTTTGTTGTTAACACGAATTAAAGACTCCTGAAAGAAGAGATATCTTATCTTATTGTAATGTTCTATAAAACAATAAGTTAAATTTTTAAAAGGAATAATAAGACAGATCACAGACCTGTTTGATTGGCCTTAGTTTCATGACAAGAGCACTGATTTCCAATTCAAACCCATCAGATTCAGCATCAGCAATATGGTTATCTTCATTGGCATGAACATGAGCAAGTGAAGTTCGGCTGTTGAATGAAATTGGTCATTTAGCGTAAATATCAACAAAAGGTGGAAATGGAAATAATTTGAAATTATAATTACAAGTAAATTATGCCAAAAATAGAGATTATGGAGAAAGTGAGAATAAGCAAAACTCGGATAATAAGGCCGAGGCCAAGAAGGAGACTGAAATTCTTCTTAAGAAAATCGACATCTTTCTTTACAACTTGTACGAAATGCCCAAAGCTTCTCCCAAATAAAGAAAAGAACATTCTTCTAGGTTTTCATAAGTCAAAAAGAAAAAAACCCTAATAAGTCTTGTCTCCATTAAATCCATTAAATAAAAAAGATACAATATTTGAATTTTCAATACCTTGAGACAAAATCGAGAAGATACATCTTGATCAAATACTCCCAATGCAATGACAGGAAGCGATGTGAAGAAGACATTGTAAAGAGACAAATACCAATCATTATACGCAGGTTGAGCTGAGAATGATGCATAAGCTTCATACAAGAAAATCATGGTTCCAAATACGATGTTTTTATAGAAAAAATAGCATATCTGCAAAAATTAAACAAACAAAATCAATCAAATATTCAATATACGACATACCCTTGTGCATCAAATTTGGGGAATTTTTTTTACAGAATTCTTAACATTGCAGAAATTCTTCGGTAAGACCAATGTCCATGGACTAATAGCAATTGTTCCAAAAACCGGAATTGAGCGATTGAGATGTCGCTCGACATAACCGCCTGCATTCCCTCAACTCCACTGATTCCGATTCCGATGTCGGCTTCTTGAATCATTCCGACATCGTTAGCTCCATCGCCGATTGCTAACGTCGTCTTTCTGGTTCCCTCTTTAACAAGTCGTGTAACCAATGCCTTTTGTTTTGGTAATGAACGACAAATGGTCGACGCGAAGAGTTGATGGGGAATCGGGAACGATGGGGTTATGCATATCGGCAGCAGGAAGGAGAAGGAAGGGGTTAGGGTTCATATCTATTGAGTTTCAGGGGAGCTGATTGTGTTGATTGTTTAGAGAGAAAACAAAAGAACGAAGCAAAGAATCGTAAGAAGGAAGTTTTATTCTGGAGGCGTGTGTATTATGCTAGGTCAGGATGATGTCAGCAAACTGATCCTAAGGTGGAGAGTAAAGGAGGGAAATGCAATCAAGGGTTGATGTTTCTTCAATGAACAATTTAAGGTTTTGTTTTAGTAATATTTAGAGATTTATATCCTTGGATCTGCCTCTTTTCTTCTAATGGATTTGTTTGTTTCTCGGTTTTCATTTAACTTGTGTTCAAGTAGTTTCCTTGGGTATGTCGCTCATGTTAGATGAATGTCACGAAAATACATCAATACTTTCTTTCAACAACTTTGTTAATTCTTCTCATTGCATATGCATCAATCCTTCTCTTATTCGTACTCCTTGCTCCGGGTATCTATCGTTTATTACGATTTCTTTTGTTTCATCTTGTGTTGATTTCGATCTTGGTGTCTTTAAATCTTTTCATTTTTTTCATATAATCATAAATAGTCCATGATGATTGGCAATTTTAATAAAATTGGTCAATATATTAATAATATAGTATTGTACCATTTCTAGTAAACAAATTTCAAACTACAACTATTTAATTGATACATTTTACATTTACCATCTTTTAGGTATACTACTACAAATGGATACATAAATTATATAGGATTAAAATAAAACCAAGAATTCGGTTTTATAATTGTATTCCATACAGGGGGAATCATCTTCCCACTAGGTATATAAGTAGTCGAATAGGGTTTTACTTGATTGGTGTGTATTAATGTACAAAAGAGGTGTAAGACCCATGTATTACATGAATTCTTTTAAAAAAATGAAATTTTAAACATTTGTGAAGTTTGAATTTATAAGAAAAAAATAGAAAAATATTGAATTATTAAAATTAAATTGTTTGTTTTTTTAATTAAACAAATAATTTAGATAAATAAACAAATGAAACTAATAAAATTTTAATTTTTAAAGTTTGAATTTAGAATGAAGTCAATTAATGAAATTAATATGCATTTATTATATTTAAATATTATGTGGAAATTAATAAAATAAAAAAAACCATAAAATGTCACGTGAAAAAAATTAATTGAAAATAACCATAAAATAACATGTGGTCAAATCAATAAGAGTGTGATATTGAAAAAAAAAAAAATTATTTATTAGGGAAGATCTTAGTTGTGATACTCTTTTTATACACAAGTATAAGCCTTATAAAGAATCCACATAGAATCCACATGAACCATTACTCCATTAGATTAATTTAATTAACAATCATGAAAAGACTGCAAACAAACCATGCAAAATGTTGTAACTTAATTAACTTCAAAAATTGCGATGTATTAAATTCGACAACCAAAGATTTACATGAACTTTACAGCCCTACATATATTTATCTTTGGCTTTGAAAAACCAAAAAGTGCATGATGATAATATCCACAGTAGCAGCATAACAACGTACGACATGATTCAATTATAACACAACTATATAATTAGGTTAAAAAAAAACCAAGCATATGTCCAATTCCTCAATACCCCAAAAGTGATTACTTTTTGCCTGCTTTTCAACGAGACATCCCTCCAGGAACTGTAGGTGGTACCATGACTCCACCGCTTTGTTGTATTTCGGGAGATTGATTTCGCCACCCAACTCCTGAAAAAAAATTGGTGCACAAATGAATCGATATAATTAACAACAAAATGTTCGAAAGAAGACAAATTCAGATATAAATGTTACCTAGTTGCATGTTGAAACCATGAGCCTGAAGTTCACGATATTCTTGACACAAGGCGCATGGTTCACATATGAGATGAACAAGAATGTTTATGATTGGGTCATTAGGTAAATTGTAAATTTGTGTCATCTTGATCCTATAGTAAGCCGACAACAGACATCCGCATCCCGTTAAGTACATTATCCCAGCATAGAGCGCGGCGTATACAAAGCAAGCTTTTACAGAAATAAAAAACGTTATGATTTAAGAAAAGTATTAAACTTTCATTGTTTTCAAGTGTTTCTTGAAATGAAAACTTACTCTGTTGTCCCCTATCGATCATTTCTGCGATTTGTCCATAAGTAACACAAGGGGCGAAAGCAGTTATGACCACTGTTGAAAAAAGTACATCAGTTTGTGGTCTAATGAAGAAGCTACAAAACATGAGAATGTGTATGTTAAGGTGATCATATGATTAGACTTACGAGTTGGGAGATCATCAAAACATTCAAAAAGGCCGGTGGACCATGTAGGGATCTCGCCTTGTTGGGGTGGAACCCCAACCACATACTGGCCGGATTGTTGTGGTGCACCACCACCTTTGCTGGAATCTGAGTCGGATGTGGGTGGGGGATTTGTGGTGGGTTGGGAGTCGGATGGTAGAACCATGGGAGCTTGACCGGTTGTAGTTTGAGGAGCCTTCTCCTTTTCGTTTGGGACTGAGGAATTCATCTCAAACTCGATTATCCAATAGACTCAATTATCCAGAGACAAGGGATTGATTGGATAATCGAGTCTAATTACCCTGAGAATTGGTTTGCGATTAGTGCAATGAATGTATCTATTTATATGATTCTCATGGATGATTTTAGCCATTGCTATATATTCATGCATTGATACGAAAATTGTTGCATGTTAATAGGGTTCGATAAAAGAATTCGGTGGTGGAGACTGGCTGATGTTGTAAATGGACCAGAATTTATACCATTTTCGGTTATCAAATTACAATTTCTGTTAATATTCCACAATGTTTTATTTATCTTCAGAAATTAACAATCAACATATGGCAAACGCTTGTCGTTAGTCAATGGACCCAAATCTGATTCCATCGAACGGTTTTAATTCTCTTTATTATTTGATCATATATCACTATAAAACTAGGTACAAGGCTTGTGTATTAGTATTCCACGGGTTTTTTAAAGAAAAAAAATTAATATATATTGGTGAGCATTACATGTTTTTTAGTAATACTTTTACATAATACTTTTACATAAGGACAAGACTCTATAATGAATAAATTACATATTTTAATATATAAACAAATAAAAAAAACATACATATTTATAAGTATTTAAAAAATGATGATGACAAAAAATATACTTCCTATTATATGCTTTTCATATCATTTTAACATTTTTTTTAATCATTTTTATGTCGTGTAAGCCACAAAAATGAAAAAACGGTTAAAATGACCAAATTTACCAAAACGACAACATTTGTCAGTTTCACCGAAAAGATTAACTGTTGTTGTTGTGCTATGAAGTTCTAAGGTATCCTACTTATATGACTCGACAATTCATAGCATTCTACTTACATTAGATTCAAAGTTTTAACAACATAAATTAGTTTGAAAGTTTTAGACCTCATATATACGTTTTTGATGAATGATGTGTTTAATGGCCTTATTATTACATCCGTGAAAAAGATCCATTTTACTGATTAATTCTTGAAAATGACCAAAATACCCTTTAGTTGGCCCCTCAATTTCACTCCATTTTGTCTTTCGTTTTCCAGCTTAGCCAACACAGAAACATGAAAAGAGATTAGAAATGTCTATTTTAGCAATAAACCAAAAAAGAGCATATTGCCAACCTCAAGGAAAAGACCATAATGCCCCCATGTGAAAGGCATGAGAATAGGACCAAAAACGTTACGAAACAGCAAAAGACTCATTTTATTACAAATGAAGCATGAAGAAAAAAAAAATTGAATTGAAATGAAACATAAAGACCCACTTAATACTTAATTCCTGAAAAGGACCAAAATACCCTTTAGTTAGCCCCTCAATTTTAATCTTTATGTATTTCATTTTACAGCATAGCCAACACAGAAACATGAAAAAACTTTAGACATGTCTATTTTAACAATAAACCAAAAGAGATCATATTCCAACCTCAAGGAAAAGACCATATTGCACTCGTGTGAAAAGCCAATATGAAACAGTAAAATGGGGACCAAAGAGAAAGAAAAATATATTCATTTCAACTACGTGCAAGACCAAAAAAAAAGTAGTTTTACTCTAATAATAGTGAATCTCCATGTATTACCTGATCTTGGGTGTGTTTGGATAAATTGTTTTAGCTTATTAGCTTATTGCTTATTTGCTTATTGCGGTGGGAATAAGCATTAAGCAATAAACATTTGAAGTGTTTGGCAAACAAAACACCTTATATGAGTAAAATGATCAATAAACAATAAGCAATAAATATTCCCCTCCCCCCCCCCCCCCCATCCCAAGGAAAACACCTTATATAAATTAGCTTTTAGTTTAATCTTTATGTCTTTCGTTTTACAGCATAGCCAACACAGAAACATTAAAAAAACTTTTGACATGTCTATTTTAACAATAAACCAAAAGAGATCATATTCCAACCTCAAGGAAAAGACTATATTGCACTCGTGTGAAA